CTCCTCCTCCTGGATTTTGGGGGCGGCAACTTACTTGTATCTCTTAAGTTGCAGGTACCCATGGCCAACAGTAGCCACTTACTAGTGATGGAAATTATTGCTACTTTTAAATCATAATCATAATAATTTATTAAACCTTCTTTTTTTATTTAAGGGGTTGTATTCACACATAAGACCATGTCAACCCCATCGTGCCCTAAACTTACAATGTACCCACCCCTTCATTTAACTTAAGTATTATAGAACATGCTTCTACTAATAATACTGAAATAAAAAAAACGCCGCTTCTGACAAAGGCTTTCACAATATACTTTGAAACATGCCAACATTTATTATGTTAATTTTTAGCCTATTTACCAGAGCCTCTCTCCAACCCTAGTTTTGACACAGTCCATCAAAAAATAAAATAAAATTATAATCATATGATATAATGATTTGTTTCAGTCACTGCGACTAGGTCATAGACAAAGATAAATGCTGTCTAAAACTTAAGCAAAGAAAAAAACAAACTTTTATTTTTAAATTTCGACCTTTCGTGAGTCTGGCGCTAGCGTAATCAATCTGCTCGTTCGACACCTATTCCATAAAAAAAGAAACATAAGTCGCAGTGTGTGATTATATGATTTATAACACGTGATTGTGATTTTGCTCCATCCCTACCACTTACCATAAGGGTCCGTCCGTCTGCCCGTTTGCTTCTTATGCTATAAAAAAAACAATTTGCTATCTTAGTAACTGAAAGTTCAAGCTTCTCTCTTTCGAGAAAAGGATGGTACGGCCGTACCTTGGTTTGTTTCTGCTTGACCGGTTTATTTGTTACTTAAATGAATTGTATATAAGTACCTACTCACAATTTTATTCTATCTATTACGCTTCAATGATATATACTACATATTATAAATTGTTTGACGTTTTAAGTACTTTCATCCTATCTATAGATAAAAATATACATTTGTTTAGTCTGATATTTTTATATCTAATACTTTAAACGATAAAATATCTAATACCTTTAAATATATATAATCTGAATCTTGGAAACGGCTCCAACGATTTTCATGAAATTTAGTATGCAGGGGGTTTCGGGGGCCATTAATCGATCTAGCTGGGTTTCATTTTTAGATAATGTACCCATTTATTTATTTTATGTGATATTTATTTATGTTTTTTTTGGTAAAAAATCCAGGTACTGTTAATTATTGAAGTTTGTCTGTAGTTTATAACACAATAGGAATAAATAACAGTAACCGTAAAAGCCATGATTCAGCAATTATAGGCTCAAGCGGACTGATACCACGACCTCACTGAAAACCCGTATTAACCAATCCTTATGTTGCTATTCACCACCGAATAAGTAAGGTTACTATACTAGAGGCCAAACCCACCCTACTCCCTGATTCTTCCTCAAAGGGCGGGAACGCCAAGTCAGTTGCCGGTGCGTTGACTTTTGAGTTGCAGGTGTCGATGGGCGGTGGTAGTCACTTACCGTCGATGGGCGATGGTACCAACGTCTGCTCGTTTGACCCCCTACCGTACCTGACTACCATTCCTCGTTCGTTCTTCTTTTATATATAGGTATATAATTATGTAGATTATGTAAATTATTATGTAGGGTATAGTAGGTACTATTCCCTACATAATAATTAAAAAAATACTAGATTTACTGTTAAATAGGCAAAATAAGTCGTTGGAATAGCATCTTATGCAAATGTACAACAATGTACGATTAAACAATACTTGAGGTACGTAGTAAGTAGTTCCTTCTTACTACTATTTATGTATTAGGTACCTTCATTAATTATGTTTCTTAGCTAAACCACAACTCAGTCTGTATAAATATACCTAACTAGTTATAGGAAAAACGAGTTATTTATAACTGATGAAAAAATGTGCGCCACGTTGAATGACTAATTAATATACTATGAACGTGTGTAGAAGGTACTTAGATACTCGTATTAATACTTTTTACTGACCTCGTATTCTTAAATGCTTGCTCATCGTTGTCTGGACGTTGAACCTTTCACAATTGGACATTTTATTTTTACATTGCGAAATATAATATTCATAAACAATATGTACAGCAATATTTACCTCCAATAAAACGAAATTCAATCTCATTTCAATTTAGTCACGGTGACCATGCAACCTTATTCTACGTGCACCTAAGTAAATGACGTGATATTGACAATACACAATCCATGTTCTGACATTTTCTGAAGAACGAAAATCTGTGGAAATAGCGGTGAAAACATATATTATTTAATAACGTGAACCTGATTTATTTACAACAAGGTAGGTTGGGATTCTGTGTGATTTTGTAGCTTAGATTTGAGATTGAATGATTTCATACATTATTTTGTAGTAAGACATGTAAACAATCAAGCTTTCTTCATTTAAACTATGGAACGCCTATACCCCTAAAAGTATAGGCCATGGCTTCATGGCATACGGCTGCACAGCTATCCTCATTAAAATATAGAATAATTTTCTCGTTTCCTACTTTTTACAACTGCAGTTTGATTTAAAATGTTTTATCTGTGTTGCATATAAATATATGTTGTCAGTTTGGTTAAAACTCCTTAAAAATAGAACAGAACCATAATCGGTCATCATAAAAAAGAAACAGATATTACAGTTTACTTATTTTAAGATATAAATTTCTCATTATTTAAACTACTACATAGATTGTTTTTTTTTCACCCATCGAAGGAACGTGTCATAATAATCATTTAATCCACTCCTGCCCCCCGGTCCCCGGCTCATTCCCCGTATCGCTCATATTTATGTGCGACTCTAGTACCTACATTCTATTTCGATGACACAAATTAACATGTGTTCGACTTCAAAAACAATAAAGGTAAACTTTCGATGCCACACAATATTTGCTACGCTGGCATTTTGATGATAATTCTAAATAAAACATTATTACAGTTTTTTTATCTATGTCGTCATTTTTTTTGGTTCCAATACGTCAGTTTTTGGTAGTACTCTGTCTTAATCGAATCGACTAAGATCAAGATTTTCAATACCTTGAGTGTTTTTACGGGGTATTCCATCCACCGGCATTAAAATTCTGGCAATCTTTTTAGAATGAAAGCTCATTCTTGCTGATCAGCGCTTTTTTTAAATATAATGCATGACAATATGTATAGAAGAATGACATACTAATTTGTAAACTGTTTTAAAGAATTGCTGTTTTGGACCTACCTCCTATTACTTTATACCCCTGCCATATTCTTCGGTCCTCCATAACCAGTATGGTCTTTCCTATAATATAATTAAAATATCTAGTCGATAAGTAAACCAAACATGCTAAATTTTAATTACTTAAAAACAACCTTTTATAGCTCCTTTATACCTTTGTATAGCGACGTAGCGGCAGATTAGAAACTGTCTTCTCATAATTATGATGATGATGTTGATGATTATTTCTAGGAAATATTAAAAATAATTTTTTTATGGTGGGTCACCTTGTCATTTAGGGGTATGAAAAATAGATGTTGGCCGATTCTCAGACCTACCCAATGTGCACACAAAATTTCATAAAAATCTGTCCAGCCGTTTCGGAGGAGTATGGTAACTAACATTGTGACACGAGAATTTTATATATAAGATTTATTCACTGTTCAAGCTACTTTCACAATATCATGGTTCACAATAGGAACATACTGTGAACCATAAACGATAGTTACGAAACGGTAGCGAAAGTATTAGTAAATAAATAGTTATTAGACTGTGTCATTAGCGCAGCAGTCTCTATTCATGGCCAAGGCCGAGTCATTGCTAACTTGACGTAATCATTGTTGTTTTGGCACAATTTACGTGTCGAACTTGAATGTTTTTTACGTGTGCCCCGCTCAATTACAATGTTAAATAGACAGATAAGTATTTTGTTTTCAACGTTGTTGTGACGAGAAGGTTTTGTCTTAATTTTAACTATTACAGCAATAAGTGTGTTTACTTCCTTTTCCACGTGGCTTCCTCAAAGACCAAAAAGATTAACTACTGTACACTTACGCTCTTTAGAGCTCGTATTTGTCCATATTCGTAGTTCAAAATCGTCAGGCAGTGTACTAAACCATTTGCTTACTGCACAACCTAGAGTTTCTTGAGGTCAGTGGACAATTTTTAATAGTGATTTATGTATTTAGGATACACATTTTATATTCATACTTTCAATTAAGTGTAACTAACTTTAGTACACTTAAATCATGCAGCTAGAATCTTGCTTTACTACACCCTTTAGGTTGTTTTTTATTTCAGATTTTGTATGCCCCTAAGCACGCTGTGTATAAAAACGAAAGATTGAAAATTCTTTAAATTTTCGCTATACCTGCATTAAAAGCGTTTGATATTTTTATATGGCGTAGTAGCCATACATTATAAGTTATATATTTACACAGCAGAAGTAGAGGTTTGAAGCAGATAATAATTTCAAAGTTTTCATTGTAGGTATAATACGAAATGTCCAGTGAGTTTGCGAAACACCGCACGTTTCATTTATATATTGTTATATTATTCATACAAATGTATTTTAGCTGCAAACAATTGCGATCAATTACGAATATGTAATGTATGTAAGTAATTAAATGTATAAATTGTAAAGTAGGTACTTATTTTTTGCTCTTGGCCTTTTATCGAGCTAAGTTCCTTAGACTGAATTAAAGAACTAGTCGATTTAAACCATTCACTTTATTCCTATTTTTTTCCTTTTTCAATGCAAAACGAATGTAGATCTTTAAATCCAAAAGTAAAGGTAAGATAAACAATCAAACAATATCATCAACAGCCTTTACTAGTCCACTGCTGGACGTATGCCACTCCTTAGAAAGGAGGTTTTGGCTAATATTGGTTTTGGCTAAAATTGGTTTTCAAACAATATAATAATTGTAATTTTCTTCGTACACTTTGCACAATATTATTTGAAGAACAAAACAAATTGCGGCAACATCGCATTTTGTTTTGTTTTCCTTTTTGTTCAGCTAGGCGTAATACTGTACAGCATGAAGCATTTCGATGAGTTTTTCTGTCTGTTCGTCGGTGATTTGGTGGTGGTGAGATGATTTGGTCAATGAACATGTTACACTATACTGATTGACGTCGAAAGCTCGGCGCTCAACGTAGATCATCAGCTCGATGGAAACAAATTTAAGAAAGAATTCTCTATAAGGATACAATTAGGATTCGCAGCGAAGCATACATTACCGCCACGGCGCGGCGCCATTACAAACCCCACAAATTGCTCTCATTCTGGTGTCATTCATTCTTTAACACTAATCACCACCCCCTTGCCCGCGGCCCTGTCTTTCCATATTTATGTGCTACTCTAGTCTTGCTACGTTCTACTTCGATGACCCAAATTAACATTTCTTTGACTTTTATTAGCAATAAAGGTAAACTTTCCTTATCATTAAATGTTACACAATATTGCTCGCCTGGCGTTTTGATAATGATTCTAAGTAAAACATTAAAAAAAAGAACATGCCGCCCGCATCATTTAAGACCACACGACGCTACTTACTATACTTACTAGTCTATATTTTGCTCAGACCACATTTTTAATACCTTAAATGTTTTTTTACGGAGTTTTCTATTCATGTGCAATCTTTTTAAAATGAGCTTATCAGCGCTATTTTTTTACCAAACAATATACTTACCGCGTATGTGCATGGCACATGCGTGTATATCAATTATCGCGGTAAAAAGTGTCTATATCCTTTATCACGAATGAAACTATCGCGTTACCAAATTTCATCTCCGCCGGTTCAGCTGTTATTGATTCCTGATACAAAGTTCCACCCACAGAACAGTGAATAAACATATTATTTACTGTTCTGTGCTTCCACCCCCCCCCCCTCTTTTCACCCCCTTAAAGGATGATTTCTGTTATAAAAACTATCCTATGACCTTTGCCGAGATTCAAACTATCTCTATACCAAATTTCATCTCCATCAGTTTAGTGGCTTACGCGTGAAGAGGTAACAGACAGATAGACAGACAGATACGCTTTCGCATTTATAATTCTTGCTAAACATAGCATGAAAGTCTCACAGGCAAACTTATAACCACACGAAAAAATTGCTTACGGCAACAATACAAATGTTAAAAATGTTACTAAAACTTACGATTTCTTAGACTTTATTTGACTGTTCCCCTGCTATGCGTTTAGATTTCTACAATTAATAAAATACGAGTATGTATGCCACAGTACGGTTCATGCGTGCTTACACATTCATTGGTCTATCATTCTATCAAGATAGTCATGGGTCATTTATTCTAATTTCAATGTAAATATAGGTAATTTATTTCCGTTCCGTAAAGAGTTATGTTAAAAATACAAATATAAGCTGCTACCATACTGTAAAATATGATTTTCAGATGTAAGCGAGTGACAAACAATAATAATAACTTGAAACTTCGAACACATGGCATTTTGATCTCAAACTAGTCAGAGCCTGTAACCAGATTGCCGAACTTATAGATAAACTAGCTGACCCGCGCAACTTCGTCTGCGTCTCTCAATAGTAATAAATTTTCTCCGTTTTTGAAACATTCTTCATTGGTACTCCGCTCCTATTGGTCTTAGCGTGATGATATATAGCCTATAGCCTTCCTCGATAAATGGGCTATCTAACACTGAAAGAATTTTTCAAATCGGACCGGCAGTTCCTGAGATTAACGCGTTCAAACAAACAAACAAACTCTTCAGCTTTATAATATTAGTATAGATTACACTCAAACAGAACAAATGATAGTACTCATTACACACAGTTATTTGTTTAGATTTGTTTAAATCTACCCACGTCTTTACGTAGTAGTAGTCGATCTAAAGGAAGAAAGCTAAAAAATTTAAGTTACAATTTGTTAGCATATTGAAAAATAATATTATCACTCGTCCTTTTAATTATGTAATTAAAAAGACGAGTGAAAATGACAATGTCCAATTATTAGTAAAATATTGGAAACAAAGCCTTCGTGCTGTCATCCCACTGGGATTCGCAATGGGGCGGTGTGTCGCCTAAATCGTCGACTAAAACAATGATGTGCCACACTGCGCCTAAAATGGGAGAGATCCGGCAAGAGGTTTTATTAAGACATCCGGACCCTTCTAGCGCCTGTCCGCAAATCACGAGCACCACCTTCCAGTATAAACAAATAAACTCGAAACCTCAATTTATTAATACACTAAAAATAGGTTAACGGACATCAGTAATAATGCTGTTAAAAACCTAAATCTCCTTATTTGGTTTTTGACAGCATTCTTACTGATGTCCGTTAGCCTATACTAGAAATAGGAATTTATTTGTTCGCCTAAACCCACGCAACATAGTGACAAATACCTCTTTTCTCTTTTATTAATGGCATCCATTCGAATACATTGACTTTTAAGATGTTTTATGTGAGAGATGTACAGTGAAAGCTCTTCGTTTTGTTGCATTATTAATTGTATACCTGTTAAGTCAAACAATCAAATTTGATGAATTTGTGATAATGAAAAGTTTGAAAGTTAATGCACCCAGCGCTCGTAAAGACTGAGATGATTTGGTTATTTGTCCTTACCACAACAATGGTGTTTACTTTTTACATGACTAATCAATCCTATACCTAAGAGAAGTACCGAACCTGCTAAAAATGATAATTTCTTAATTAGGGAAAAGTACACAAATAAGTGGCGCGTGGGCTTGTGGTTGATGGTTCGGTTCGGTTATGATTTTTTTAGAAAGATTACTAGAGATGTTTTTCACACTAATATTTCTGTTAAGCTGAGCTAAATGCTTGTATGGTGGCTGACGCCCTAGCTCTAAGCCACTGACGCTTTAATTCATACTATACAACTGGAAATCCACAAGGTTTACTTTTTTGATGGGTATCGATGGAGGAACGACATATATACAAACCAAAGAAGTTAAAAGACCAATACTATTATTTTTGGCGATATGAAAAGACAGTGGCTTTACTATTCCGTAATTTTACTATAATATCTATTTAAAGTAAAAGTCCGTGTGGTGACTATTTAAGAATATTGAGTGTCACTACCCCTGTTCAACCCGTGGGTGTCGTAAGAGCCGACTAAGGGAAAAAACTACGCAGAACAGCACTGCAGAGAGAGAAGGAAAACTTGACACAAACCCTGTACCGACCCGTCTGGCCAGCGTGGAATAGTAGGCCTAAACATCCTTTCTAAGCAGAGGCTTATGTCCAGCAGTGGACTATTAAAGGCTGTTGATGATGATGTGATGTGAAAGTAAAAGTGGTAATCCTACAAAAATCGAGTCAAATAGACACACATATGAAATGCTATTAACATTAAAATTAAAATGCTAATATGTTAATAAGAATCTAATGTAACAGATTGATCAATAAAGACGACGATGAATGTAACAGATTCCTTCTTATATGTATCAATAAATAAAAAACTACGATCACGAATATTATTATGTATATGATCGAAAGCGGTGGTCAATAAACGTATTTCTATCTCATCTACACTTATACAAGAGTCTGATGACTCGTGCAAATATTGCATAATACTTGTCTTGTTCACACTAATTGGCAAGTCGAGTCACAAATAAGATTTGACATTCTCGTAGTATAGTCCTCAAATAAATTGATAACTCTTTAGTCATAATCAGTTACCTTGAATATTTATTATAAGTATCAATTTACATTATAGTATAGGAATCGTACAGAAATTTGAAAATAGTTTTAAGGTCAATAACTTCTGAATTGACATTGACTTAAAAATAACGCAAAATCATAATTCCGATCTGATGATCTGTCATATCATATGTATATCTTAAAATTAAAATTCTATTCTTTCTAGCGACAAATGCTACTTATTTTACCATTAAGGTTTTAAATAACCACTAAACCGTAACGGATGTCGGCCTCTAAAAATGGATCCGGATTCAGTTTGTTGCCATGTTTTGTTTACAAATTAATAACTGCTACGACGAAGTGTCGCGGGTTCGATTCTACCTTTGTGAAAAAGTTTGTCGAATCTAGAAAAAGATAATAATGAAAATCTCATGTATTTTCGTCTATCATGTTTGGTCTCGGTAAGTTATTTTAATTTATACAAGATTATTTAGGAAATTCGCGTTGTATGTCACCTTTTTCATTACAACATGGTCACGTCGCGTCTGGTCGCTGCCCCAGCGCCTTGTGCTGTCTGACCCAATCTTTAATGATGAGACTAGTAAGATTGCTCACACAATAATCTTTCATAACTGTAACATTAATTAAGCCATACAGCTAACTTCTCGCAACACCTCACGCCTAACACTAAACTAGATACGAGTGAAAAAGTATTAAAAAAACAGTGGCACTCCGGAACTGACGACAGAAGTAAACAAAAAAATGATTATAACAGCAAAAATTTTTTGTTTTTTTCGATTTGAAAAGTTCCGACATGAATATATATCTATGTTCTCTACACAATATATGTTTATATTATATATACTTATAACTTGTGTAAACGGGACCAATATATGTAGATACAGAGGTGTCGGTAACGGTAACAGTAAACTCGTTAAGTTTAATGGGATTTTCCCCATCTCAAAAAATACATTCTTTTGTTTGTTGTTCAAAAATGCCCAACGCGCCTAAAGAAGTTTTCAGTCATCATTTTTATTATTACCGCTTATCATATTACATCATCCAATTTAATGTCATTCATCGTTGAAATCAAATACTCCTAAATTGCAAAAAGTTACGCAAAAAAATGGGTCCATGGGCGGCGGCAGGCACTTTCCATCAGACGGTCCGCTTGTTTGCTTCCTACATCATAAAAAAATACTAATCTATTTTGATTACGTTTATAACTTCAGATGCAATAGTAGTTTTCTTTTTAAATTGAGGCATAGGGTATGTAAAGACAATCCTTTTTTTAAATTTATATGTTCTATGTGTTCTATGTTTTAAAAATTGGAGAAAACTGTAACGTGTTTTTTTTTAAGTGTTTTGTTTTTGTTACACTTATATGAAATTAAAGAACAAAAGTTTAATGTCTTAATCCCAGTTAGTCCAAAACTTGGTATACCACAAAGGTCAATACTTAATACTTATATCCTGCTATTATCCCTTTACAAATTGCCTTAACTTGTATGGCTAAAAGTTTTATGTTATATGTTACAGATGTGTGTACGCATATGGCTAGAGGTAGGTCACGCGTGCGAGCCACGTCGGTCTGCCCTGGGCCGAGCTCTAGCACTAGACTGGCGTGTATGGGTGCGCGGCGTCAGTGGCTGCGACATCAGCACTTTCGTCCACAAAGTAGTGTACCACCTTCACCCGGCGTCAGCTTTCGTTTACCCTAAGAGAGGCAAGTATTTTGTTTAACCCTTCCTGCTCATGATCGTCGACGACATGATCGTCTTAATGCTATTTCACTTACTGGTAAATATGCGTTTTTATACACACGCCATTGAGTATAAAAAATAATACAAAAACTAAACATTATTCTGTTTTTATTAAATTGCAACTAGACCATCACGAAATGTGTTTTACTTGCACAGTTACGTTCTCGTAAAACGTGTCTCTGCAGTGACTTTCACGTTGTCCTATGCACTTTTATCAAGAACGTTCGTTTATCCTTCTCTAACTGCTTATAAACATAAGCAATTATATCGATATTCCAACATGCGTAACTCATTGACATTATCATACATGCTGATTATTTTGTTGTTAACGTACCGCTTTATCTCGACGACTTTGCCCTCTTATATGTATATCTCTTTTTTATGGAGCGATGACGACTGACTGCTACAAATATTGTTACAGTTCTCCAGGAGCCGCCTTACGAAATCCAAGAGTCTGGCTGCGCTTCTATCGACATACCGATACACGTGTACCTGAAATACAGCAACAGGCCAAAGAAAATACGACTGCGATATAGTTTGCAAATCGAGAATAATAACAAGAGCAGTTCGGAATCGCGCTGTATCTATTACGACTTCGAGAACCCGTCAGAGCAGTTGTGCAAGGCACTCATGAGTGGCGGCGGCGAGGTCGTGGCGCGCGCCGGCGCGCCCCGCCGCGGCAAGAAACTGCTCGTCGTGCTGTCCGACAGCGGAGACGACAAACCGCAGAGACTTACTAACCCCAAGAAGTACAAGTTCGTTGAACCCATCAAGTGCAAACACGCTAAAAAAAAACGGACTAAGTCCAACATATTCGATGAAACTTGTGTGAAGTGTGGTACCTCGATTTATGGTGATATAAGGAAGCAACTGAAGTCTGTGACGATGACCGATGATGAAATAAACTGTGTATCACAGTTGTATTTCTCGTACTCTAACTATGAGAAATCAGTACCTAGTTCGAATAGATTATTGCTGCCGGCTATATCGGATCCTATTTACATAGCGCCAGAGCTTTCGCCAGCGTTGAAAAAAGCTCTCAAGAAAGTCGAGGACGATTACAAGATGCTGTGATCTCGCAGCATCGTGCCGTCATCAGTGTTGTGTTGTGATAATAATTGGTGCCATGAGAGACCTGTTGCAAAAATATTGTTAAACTAAGCAAAACAATATAGTGAACATTACACTTACAATTTATATACGATTTTAAAGACTATACTGGGATGTTCGACTGTTGTTTATTAGGTAGTTAATGTAAAGTACATTACCATTAATCTAGTTTTTATTTAAAAGAATACGAAATATTGTGTGCTGTGAGTAAGATCTCAATAATGTAGTAGAGATGTCTATTTTAAATCTATATATTTTATGATAAATTTTATTCTTATACTTAGTTGCTTATTGTAAGAATATTTATAGTCAGGGTTGTGACTTACATAATTTAAACTGTGTTGTTTGTGTTCTGTTATCGCACGTGAAAGCAGGTGCGTACTAATTATAATCTATCGTTATATGATTGAGCGACAGGGTAATAACGTAACTAGTTATTGAATAAACTTAAGAATATACGGCAATGATTCCGGAATAACGAAACCATTTACTCGTTATTATTGCACTAGGTAAAACTGTTACTTTTGTTAATTTTATCACGAAGCATAGCTATTAGAGTACGATATAATTATGTTATTGGTGAAGATAGTTGTTGTTACTTTAAATAAAACTTTTTATGTTCAACCATACCTTGTTTTAACTGGTAGGTATAAACGTATACTGAACGCCCTATTTAAGAACGCCTTGAAGATGTCACAGACACTATAGAGACGCTATCCTTATGTTTTAGACCTAGGATTAAAAGTTGTCTACTCCCTTTATTTCTTTATTGGCACGTTAGAGCATTATTTTAAAAATATCACTTTGAGAGTTACAAAATTATAACCCTATAACCTCAAACCGAGAAACCGAGAACACTCACGAAAAGTGAGGCAAGTAAAAATATGCCATTTTGGCTTAGCGGACGAACGGCAAACGTCAGTGCTCAAGGTCAAATTTTAGTGTTAACAGCTCTTTTAATTTTAATACAAAATGACAGTTTGTGCAATTAACGGGTACCACAATATGTCGGAAAAGCATAACAAAAATTTTAACATAACATTCCACATGTAAGTAATACGTTTATTCCAATATTTTTATGAAAAACATTTTTCAAAGCAAAACAAAAAAAAAAAAAAACTGAGTTAAAAGTAACAGAGTAAAGCTTAAATTTAAAAAAATTGGTTGCCTGTAAAGTCGGTATACGGGCGAAAGTTTTACGTGACAACGACTTTGAGTGGTAAAATAATTTTAATGTGAATATTCATTCGTATAGTAGGAAGAAGGATGAAATAATAGTAACAATTTAAAACATTTATTTATACAAAGAATTATATTTAAAACATTAATTTAAATTTTATGTCTGTCTCTCTCGCTCTTAGGCGGGCTAACCATGCCCGAGTGGAAGGGACGCGTGCCTCTCACTCGCTCTCATTGTGAGCGCATAACGTGAGCGGAGCGTAACGCAGTTTCTTGAAGTGTCACCCGGCAAACCAATTTATAAGACGTTGTCACGTCAAAACATAAACATTAAATATCGGTAGACATCATTTTGACCAAATGTTACAAGTTAAGTTAACATGGTTTCTTTTTGATATTAGATTATTATGTTCTAAAATAGAAAAATGCTTATTGTACAGGTTGGTAATGTAATTTACTTGCACTTGAAGCCATAACACAGATAGCCATTATTAATTCGGTGGAATAGTCCAAAGTGAATGCACTTACTTTTACTGAATTGGTTTCGTCCATTAATCATGTAATGTATTTAGCAACAAGGCTGTCATAATAAATTTAAATGGGCATACATTTGTGGCAGATGTAATCTATGACGGAACACTATAAATACTAATAACTTTAAAACGATCTCTCCTGTTCAACTTTTTTAATGTTTCGTTGTGTAAGTATGTATATTACTCTTTTCAATTGTGTTCCCCAGAGGTTGGATTTCATGCCACTCTTGTGGAAAACATTAGGTATGATTTGGTCTTTTCTCGGTGGCTTAGGATCATGTTTAATTCAAGTAACAGTAGGTAATGTGCAAATTGCAAACCTACTTAGTACCTGCGTTTGAACCCAAAATATTCTCTTATCCTTTTCTAATACTTATGCAAGTTATCTCTATTAAAAGGTGAGACAGAAAATATATATACAATTAAACTTGCAAAACTTATTAATTATTATAAAAATTTATTATTGTATCCATACTTATTTATTGTCATCAAAACTATCCAAAATTATTTATTACAACGATTATCACAATCCTACTAACAGCCGTCACCGCCAGGATGTTCATTTTCCTGTTTGTCTTTTTACCCTACCGCTTCACCTGGCTGGCTGTCAACACACCAGTGTGACTAGTGCCAATCGAATAACATTATCTCAAAAAAATATATAATCCGCAATCAGCATGACATCAAAAGCAGTGTAAAAATTATGAAACTTAAACGTTACAATTGTAATAAAATTAATGAAACAATACACCAATACCATCTTATCTAATAACCGAGCCAGTTCATAATGCGATTGGGTCATTCTTATCATTTGCGATGTAAGACCTAGTCTTTCATCTTGGTAGACAAGTGTCTAACAAGTTCTTTAGAACTTGTTAGACACTCGCGATCTATCTATATTATTGTTAAGAATATCTGTTATAAATTAAAGATCAGGTAGCTTTGGTCTATCGTTAATCAAAATGAATTTGATAATGTTATACCGATGACACGTTGTTGACGATTTTAGAGAGAGGTTTTGAAGAAACAGCATGCCTGGCCTCACCGGGAGTTCCTCTGTTGTTCGGAAAAATCGAAGCGTTAGGCTCTTCCATGGACCCCGTTGTCATCCGTTCCCAACGCTTCAGTCGAGTTTCATTCAATCAGGCCCAATACAAATCTTTAGATATATTTGTAGACTACAGCATACCAATGAGGACGAAATCTTTTGGGTCATGGCAGTCAGGTCTTTACTCATCATATTTGATGGAGGCGGCTTGTGCTAGCCGGAACACCTTCTTCGAACTTAAAAGCAGACGTGCTCGTCGAATTTTTTATCTGAATGATGTTCGAATTTCTGGTCGTAAGTGCCACGTGGTCGCGTCTATTCATGGGTAGTGAGTAGCTCCATCGTGGTTGAACGGACTCCCCGGCTGAAGGTTTTACCCAGTTTGTTGTACTCCAGCCGGCATAGTTAAGTGGGTAGAACAGCAATACACCACTCTTACCTTTCGCAACACAGGTGCTTTCTGGGCATTGTTGGATATGACATCATATGCTCAGATACTGTACACCTCTGCAATTGCAGCAAAAACACGACGCAGCATACGCTCGAACTTTGTCTAGTTAATGTGTAACCGCTAAACGTGTCAGGCGGTCTACTCACCGGCTTACCCAGCGGAGATATCCACGTGATTTGGGTTACCTCAGGGCGCCTTGTCGACTATCGGCGAGTGGCTGACTCCCGGGCGGAGAGCGGATTTCGCCCTCCGCCCGAAGACGTGCGCGAGTGGCGCGAAGCCGCTCGCCGAGCCACGATGGCTCGTTGGTCGTTCCGGCTGGAGACTCCACGCGCTGGCTTCGCCGCCGTGGAAGCTCTCCAGCCGGTCATCGCCGAGTGGGCAGGGCGGCAGCACGGGACCCGGCTGACGCAGGTGCTTTCCGGGCACGGTTGCTTCGGAAAGTACCTGCACTCGGTCGCTAGGAGGGAACTGAGTCCTGCCTGCCACCACTGCGACTGCAGTGAGGACTCGGCCCAGCACACGCTGGCGGTCTGCCCCGCATGGGCGACGCAGCGCCGGGCCCTCACTGCAGTCATCGGAGTGGATCTCTCGCTACCGGCCGTAGTACGCTCCATGGCCGATAGCGACAGTTGTTTTACCGCGGTCGCAACCTTCTGCGAGGAAGTAATCTCGCAGAAGGAGGCGGCGGAGAAGGACGACCTCCACTCGGACCCGATCCGCCGCCGGCGAACCGGACGGCGGAGGCGCGCCTATCACCGCCTCATGCCGCCCTGAGTGTGGCCGCGGGTGGACGGCACCCCCTCCACCCGCATTAGTTTGGCCAACCGCGAGGGGGCGGCGTCTGCGTGTGCCGGACGTCGCCTAAAGAGAGGAAAAGAAAAAAAAATTTTTGAGACGGAGCCCGCAACAGGAGCGGGTCGGCGCTAGGAGGGGTCCGGATGTCTTAATAACAGCTGTTCCCGGATCCCTCCTATTACAGGCGCAGAGTGTGCCACTCTGCGCCTGTAATAGGTTAATATGCGCCTGTAATAAAACCGTGTGGTTTTAGTCGGTCCGAGTCCGAAACATCACCCCGCCGCAAACCCCGGTGGGGTGACGGTCCGAGGGGATTTCCACACGTATAAAAAAAAAAAAAAAAAGGGCGCCTTGTCGACAACAGAGGAGTACGGATATGTGTGCGTGTGGGCAACCTAAGGGACTCTTCAGAGAAACACAACTTACACCTCAGTCATACATACATGTATATTTCATTTGATTTTTACACAGTAAGAAAATTAAAATTGAATATATAAATATAGTAGGTATATCAAAAAAAGGATCCCCCAGCGGCGCGCGTCAAGGCCGAGCAGATGTTGCTAGGAGCAAACAGTTGCAGGTTGCAGGTTATTTTCACACCAGCCCGAGTCGGCTATTTATGTTAGGTATTTATAATAGTGAAATTAACAAGATTACGTGACCCTGGTATGAGGCTGACCGCTTGCTTGTGAGCCGCGTGACTGCCAGTTTATCAGATGGTACTGACGAGCTCGATTACGCACAAGAAGGCCACAAACAAAAGAGCACGCCGTCTGAGAAGTATGTCTTGACCCGAAATCTGGAGCCCTACGAATGGATTAACACTCATATAATCGTTCAGATTGCAGAAACAAATGACTACAAGAAAAATAAGATTAACTTACCACTGAAGTGGGTACTTAGGACACAGAATTTACTAGAAATGAATTAACAGACAATCAAAATGCTACTTCAAATCGGAAGACTAAAATCACCAGTGTCCCTAGCGGCTGGAAGCCCAACTTATATATGCTCGGTTTGTGAAACTTCTAGAAAGAATCCCTTCTTTATTTAGTCATGAATGGGAACTCAATCGAATTCAAACTATCATTGAGGTTAACTTGACTCAATTCAAAGGTAACCAACTTCATACCATATCAGGACACATTTAACACCAATACAATTTGACAGGATAAATTATTACTACAACATACCGAAAAAAACACGCCATCTAGTGGTCCGATGGCGGACGAAGAGACATCAATACTATAGTTACAATCTACTTCGGATAAATCAATAAGTGCGACGCGGGGCGACAGGTGTCACTGTTGACAACTCCGTACGCAATACAAATATATTGGATGAATAACTGTTACAAATGCCTCTACAAGGTTGTCCAAAACCACCGGTACTGTGCTGCCAGCATTCAAACGGCTTTCCACGACCTTCACCAGGCCTTCGGACCATTTTGTGGGGGCCCACTCACACTCAGTGGTCGCCACTCCAGAACTTTTTGACCACTGCTACTTAAGTTTGGAAATTCTCCGGACAAAGTCAGTGACCTTGGTTCCTCTTTTGGTAACTTTGAGCGTTCCCCTAAGGTCCATTGCGAGCGACCACGTCTATGTGCAGTCATCACTGGCAACACACCCTGCCACACTGGTCAAACACTTTTGTCTTGAGACACTGCGGTAATTGAGAAGAGAAAATGTCACGTAGCATCCCGAACGCTGCCCAGCCAAGTTGGATTCGACAATTGACCTTTTTCTCTCTTTTTACCTTTTAAACGCCTCAAAAATAAAAAAGTTCAAATTATTCAGTTTTTTTGGTTGTATTTCGTTGTAAAATGGTCGTATTGAGGCTTTAATAAAAGCATTTTGAAGATGTAAGATTCTGATTTTCAGATTATTTAGGAGATACGGTTGTCATACGATGCTAACAGATTGCGTAAAAAAAGTAGTATTGCAATTTTTTTTATTCACGGGTTACATTTTTTTTCAGTTAAGCGGATCAGATAGAGAGATAGATAACCTAAAAAAAGCATTCGATACTGTATCGCATAAAATCCTGTTAAAAAAGTTAGAATTGTTGAATATTACTGGGAATGCCTTCAAAATTTTACAGTCATATTTAGAAAATAGATCCCAAATAGTTAAATTAGACAATATACATCAAAGTGACGCACTGCCAGTTACTTGTGGGGTTCCGCAAGGATCTATTTTAGGGCCCTTGCTCTTTTTAATCTACATAAATAATATTCAAGAACTAAAACTACACGGCCACCTTACGCTCTACGCCGACGACACTTGTTTGTTTTACTTTGGATCCTCTATTCATACGATAATCTCCCAAGCTCAAGCTGATTTGAACATATTATACTCATGGTTTCAATACAACCTATTAACTATTAATATCTCAAAAACGTGTTACATTATCTTTAAAGCAAAAAATAAAACTATTCTTACACATACACCATTACTAATAAACAATGAACCCCTACAACAAAAATCGTGTGAAAAATACCTTGGCTTAAGAATTGACAGTCTGCTATCGTGGAATGTTCACTTGGATCATATACAAACGAAACTTTCGTCCCTACACGGATCACTTCGAAATATAGTTAAATGCATTCCTAGCACATTACGCCATAATATATATAATGCTTTAGTTAAACCACACTTACAATACCTAATAGAAATCTGGGGTAATGCAGCTAAGACTAAATTAGGTGAATTACAAATCATGCAAAACAGGCTCGTGAAATTGATTTTTAATTATCCACATCTTTCACCAACATACAAAATTTATAACGAAACCAAAATTATGAACTTAAAACAATTATTTACATACAATACGTGCATTCTCACCCAAAAAATTCTAAACAAAAAAATTCAATCTAGTATATCATTCACTAAAATAAAACATACAACCCAACGTAGTACTCGCCGAGCTAGTTTTTTGGTTTTACCTAAACCTAGAACAAATTATGGTAAAAAAATGCTGACATACGAAGGGGCACAACTATACAATAAACTACCATCGTACATTAAAAATGTAAACTCATTTAATGTATTCAAAACTCGATTAGCCCAATATGTACGTACATCATTCACATAACTTGACCTCGGGTAAATGAATACATTAAATTAGTACCTACCCACAATGATGTTATTTATTTATTTATTGAGTGAAATGACGAACGAACCTGTATAATACTTTAAGTTATTATTGTTCTCAAGTAAGTGACTTTGTTTTTATTGAGAATAAAGAATCTTTAATCACAGATAGCCTTTTTATTCACCATGATAGTGACGACTACGACGCCAACAACGACGACGAACACCACAACAAAAACTAAGCGTTGAACACGACGCCAAAGACGTCAACGACGAACACGATGCTAAACAATGTTTTTTTATTTTACCCTTATTTTCATCTTGCCCCAACTCACCCTAAAATGAAATGGTATTGTTAGAAAGTGAGTCATTAAGTGTACAGTTTTCGAAAGGTTTCAACTGGGAGCCAAAACACTTAGTTATGCTCGCTGCCCAGAACTTCGCAGTATAGAGACATCACAATTAAGACACCAACATAATTTATTATGATTGACTTCTGAACATAGGGGTTAGTCAGTCGTGTCTAGTTGTGCATGGAAACTACTCCAATAGGCAATAGGTAACATTGTGAAACCGATGTTTTTTCCATTATTGCAGTGATGATGATTCACTGATGATGATGTGAGGGTATGTATTTTAGGAGCTATTTATTTCTTGACATGTATTTTACCTATTTTTTTATAGAACTTTGTCATGGATCAAAATACTCGTATGCAAACTAATTTTCAAAATGAAAGGTCACCACCATGTCATAACACCAAATCGTCTTAGTTCTCCTTAAAAATAATGGACAGCTCTACATAAAATCCTTTGACAGTTTGTCTTTCAAATACATGACATTGGCGAAATTGTGGTTAGGTACACTCTACCACAAAGCCATTAACCAAAAGTTGAAGTTGAAGTAAAAATAATGGAAACGTCAGTCTGTCAAAGTCAAATAACGTCAAGTCAGCTGGCATTGAATTTTAATTTCAGTTTAATTTTCAAGGTTCCTATTTATTTCCTACTTTAAATGAGCTAAGTTTACTACACCGAATACAGATTTGTAAAAAAAAAACGCAAAATTACTTCGTGTTTTGACAAAACTTCACGTTGACAGTGCATTCGCAAAGGAATCTTAAATCAATTTAGTATTTAAATTGACAAAATGGTTTGCGTTCCTTGTTTCATCATTCCAGTGTTGTTATATTTATGGCATAAATTTATTCAACCTTACGTTCTTCGCTTCTGGAATCCTTGGGCTGTAAAAGACGCTGATGGCAATGTTACGACCGAATTCCCTTTCAAATGTGAAGGAGGAGTGTGCGCATTTAGTGGAAAGAAAATTGAAAAGAAACAAACCGAAGACGCTGACAAAATGGATCTTAATGCTACCCCAGAGACGGAAAGAATAAAGTCAGATTGAAACAGTATTAACCTCTATGCATATTTTTATTTAATTCACTAAAATAATGGGTGTCAACCTATATATCTGGATCAAAAATGTTGCACCTGACTTGACATTATGGTTCATTACACAATTGTAATAAAACACTTAAAATATGAATATCTAAGGAAGGTTCCATCATCTGAGACAAGTGTTAAAGTAACGGAGACAATAGTAGAAGTGGTGTATATATTTTTCTCAAGTAGTTTTATTTGTTTGAATAATTACATATGTATAATTTCCTTTGTTACATTATACAACCTAAGATCAACTCTAGGTTTTAAAATAAAAAAAAAGTATATTGTTGTGTATGCTCAGTAAGTTTATGATTCATTTCATACTGGGTTCATGGCTCTGATGAGTCAGTCACTTTCAATATTTTAGGAGTGCTAAATATCATCTAGCTAGACTCTCAATTAAAATGCATTTCGTTTGTTTATATAATGCATTACTATGAAGTTGTAAGGTTTATGGTACAATTGTTGTAAAATTTTAAGTAAATAAAACAGCAAATAAATGGAATTCGGACTTTTATTTCAATTACTCTTATGGGCTGCTTACATTTAATCAATGATGTCTAATATCTAGTCTTTAATAATAAAGTTCTACTGACACTGAACTATTATGACTAAATAAATTTTGTGTTTAAATTGTTATTTTCAATTACAAAAGTATGAAAAATGAAAAGCCGTTTAATTTGCAAGTACAAAAAACACAGATAAAACAAAGAAACAGGAACATATTTAGTTTTTGTTAGGTAATCATATTTCATAAATTAATACTTTTGTCTGAATATGCACATCTGATATAAGCATAACATAACCTAACCCATATAATGTAAAATGTTCTCAGGAGATTATATCCATGGATGTATTCCAACCACAAATTTCTTAGAAGGTCAAGACTAAGGACTGTTTAAAAGAGTTACTACAATAGAAAAATGTCTAGTGTTTACATATCTACTTTAAATTGCATACAGTTTATGAAACTTATAAATATTGTATCCTTATCAGTAATAGTCGGAATCAGTAAAATAGTATATTTAATTAAGTATATGAATAGGTGCTATGAATTTTATAACGGTAATTTAGCTAAAATCATACTTTAAAAAGAAACCATTAGACGACTTGCTGCATTCCAATGAAAAATTGAAACATTTAATTAAAGAAAAATAAGAATACATTCCCGATTGCTCAAAATATATTTCCCACTTCAGCACCTGCGTCACGTTTGTATGTCCAGTTCAATCCTTACGATCTAACTTAAAAATGAACTTACACTAGAGACTATTGATATAGTGCACTCATAATTAAGGAACTTTAATCATTTTTGATAGAAATAGGTAAAGCTTTGCATCACAAGAACACATAAAATATATTGTTTTTCAGAAATTCTCATTAATAACACATTCATTATTAGAAATAGCTGCTTGTTGATTTTACTAACAGATGAAGGAGAAAATATCTTCTATGCTGATGTGGCCTCACATCCCCTAAAAAGGTAATTTTACAAGTGCACTATATTAATGATATCAAACAAACATGCAGTACTGCAACAATCATCCCATGTCAACCTTTCAATAATCATTTAAATTTAAAGCAAAACAACTATGTCCATGACATTCTGGCACATTCTTTCCATCACTTATTTAACATTCTTTAATTCTACTTCAAATACTAATGTTGAATTTGGTGGGATCACTGGAGGTGAGCCTTTAGCTCCGTACCTGGAATCAAAACACATATTTTAATTAACAGTACTAGTACACACATTAAATAGAAAACAATTCTAAGTTCAAGTAAAATAACTTTATATATTTGCATCCTCACAAACATTTCATTCAGAAAGAAACATTTAATTATTAACCTAATGTTTACCAGACAAGAAAAACCTATGAGGACTTGTTGAATTGATTGGTTGCTCCACATATAAAATTCATAGCATACCTTTCTAAACTGTAGTGTAAAAAAAAATATGAGTATGCACAACAACTAACTGGATAAACTATACAGAATTTGTTTAATCAAGCACATTCTGAAAATCAGCATCATTTCTAGTTACCTTTTTTACAACCACACTTCAAAGACAGCAGTTTCACATGAGTCATCCCATTAGTCTGAGGCTGTATGGACTCACCAAGAGCATAGATGAGGTACACAAGGTTGCCTAACGTAAGAAAAAGGTAGCACACACATTTCTGCAAATTGTGGCATGGCCTACTTACTATCAGCCTCAAAAGAGCTGGGCGATTAGGCTGACATTTCATTAAAACAATGTTACTTACCCCATTGCGGGTGGGCACACAATCTTCCTCTTGCCTCCAACCTTCATGCCTGAGATACCAACATCCCAACCAGCGATTACCTCCTTGGCACCCAGTCTGAATTTGAATCCAGGTCCCTTCACACAATTATCAAACATCTTGTTGTTTTGTTTTAAGCGGCCCTCATAGTACACCTAAAAATGCAAAATAGTCTTATTACTGCATCATCACAATTACATTTATAAAATATAAGAGCAGACCAGATATATAATATATAAGTATAAGACCAGAAAATATATTGGTAGTATTGTTAATACTACTAATATATTTTCTGGTCTTATACGATGTCAAAACTTTTATCATTGTCTATAGGAAAATGGATGGTTGTACATTTTTATCTTTATTTCTCTTCTTGTTATGTTTCCTTTGTACTTTGTATTGACTCTCACCATCTAGTGGTCAGACTGGTACTTAGCTTAGCACACATCTCTAACCAAATAGCAAGTTCTACTATAATTAGCACTCTAGTTGAATAAGTTGTTGGCTGGTCTAGTAAAACAACGAAAAATTCCTACCATGACAATTTTGCCAGGTTTGGCCACCGGTCCGCTGCCAATCTTCACATCTTCAATGCTCACACCACCACTTAGCTGCTTCTTTTCCTTTTTCTCTACAGCTTGTCCAGCTGGAGCCTCCTTCTTGGCTTCAGGCTTCTTCTTCTCAGCTTTCTGTGGAGCTTCTTCCTTCTGTGAATAATTGATATGGATACTATTAATAATATTTCTGACTTTAAAATGGAACTGGAAGTCATGACATGCTAGATTTTGATGTGATTATAGCCTGATCTTTAAAAGAGAATAACAAAGATTGATAGAATTAATTTCGTCATTATTTAGTACGGACATAGGTCTCTCCTTAGAAAAGAGGTTTTGGCCTACTATACCACCCCACTGCTGCTATACTATAAAACTTAAAACACATATTATACCCCCTATACCAACAAAAAAAAAAAAAAAAAAAAAAAAAAACCTTCACCACACAGACAAAAACCACAAGACGGAACTTATTGCATAATTAAATATATTTTTTCATTATCTTGCAGCTTGAGTAAATGAAATATTTATAAATGTCTACTATCTGCTGCACTTTAAATGCCTGCAAACCTTGTTGATAATAAATCTTACTTTAGCAACACCATTAACTTGAGGTTGTTTGTTTTGCTGCTGCATCTTTTTCTTTAAACGCCGTTTCTGTGACTTCGACAGCTTAGACAGGTCTACAGAACCATCCTCCTTGCTGGTGTCAAGTGTTGTGTCAGCCTCTTCAGGAGCTGCTCCCTTCTTCTTCTTTTTTGGAGACTCATCCTCTTCATCAGAGGCTTCTTCTACATCGTCCTCTTCATCCTCGTCATCTTCCTCTTCCTCGTCTTCCACATCCTCGTCACTATTTAAGCAAAGACTTAAATTATATATCTGTCAGTATAAAATTTGCCAATAGGTGTATATGTATAGAGTAGGACCATAAATATTTACATTTGCAGAGGTGAAAATCAAAAATTTCTAACAATAATATTAAGAACTTGTTTTGTGTGCACTCACAGGACATTTATCCTTACCCATTACAAAGGTCAAATCTGTGTCTCCTAATTATAGCTTTTTAATTGTTAGGTCATTTTCTAACTTAAACTCTCTTTTGAGTGATTTTATTTTAAAACGTTGTTTAAAACCATATTATGTTATATTTTTTATTTTCTGTACAGTAAATTTACATGTCTCTTTATAAAATCACAATTAAAGCTGTTTACTAAATGTATCTACCAAATTACATGGAATAAGTTTTAATAGTTAACTCACCTATCATCTCCCTCAGCAGATGTGTTCACTTTGAAGGATTCATCATTGTCATCAGTATCAATCTCCTCACCATCCAAGAACTTTTGTAACTGGTCTTCGTCTTCATCTTCTGAGCTTTCAGCACCACGGGCTTTCTTGCCTTTCTTGTCAGCCTATGTGAGAAATACATTAATAAATATAGCACAGAAGAATAATGAGTGCAGAAATTTAATTGTATGTTCATAAAGTTGTTCCAACTCTTTTTTGTCTGTTACTTTATTGTCTGTGACAATGTTTTTTAACACACTCTTATTAGCTTTGTATGTATGCAACAGAATCTTTGAATGTGATTTTGACAAACTTGAAAACAATTTTTTTTCTTTAAGCAGTTACAAAAAAAAACAGTATATTGTAGGATATACAATACATGTTAGGGTATTCAAATTATCTCTTGTATAAAAAGTCATTTTAAATATGATTACTGTGTGAATGCTTCCATAGTTCAATTAACAACTTATTGTGCATGTGGTAACCCACTTCAGGCCACCACCCCACTGTGGTTTGCAATAGGGTGGTGTCAGAGTCAAACTTATAAAAACCACATCATGAACAGCTTTTACTAAAACATGAAGAACTGTCCTAGACTGGACCCTACCTTCCAAGTGGCTTACCTTTGCCTTTTTGCTAGCTGAAGTATCATTATTGGTCTCCAATTTCCTCTTGTTCTTGGGAGGTACAAGGGCTGGAGCCTCTTCTTCCTCATCATCATCCTCCTCCTCTTCTAGATCATCTTCAAACTCAGGGTCTAAGTATCCAGTTAAATGGACATTGCATTTGCCTATAGAACATATATGAAACAAATACTAGATCAATACTTGCTTTTTCTTTAAATTATTTAGGTAATACCCTTAATTTGTTTTTACTGTTATTCTATCACTATTTTAGTAAAGGTATATTGTTAGTTTAGCCACAGAAGTAGAAAATATGGATTAGTAATAGTAGTAGTTAGTGTGCTTTATTTCTTCTTATAATTCATAGACAGAAGAGATGACCTGTTGGTCAATATTTCACCATATTTTATAAAATTGCAAATATCATAGTTGTATTTTTATAACAAAAAAAAACAATTAAATCAAAAACATTAGACAAATATTCTAAAAACACTCATAATTTACTAACCATTAGTTAGGAATGATATTGAATCTCCAGTTTTGAAGTATAAGTCTAGTGGTACTTGGATATCCTTGCCCTTCTGGAGTGTGCATACCAAGAAGTTTTTACCATCAACTACCACCATAACTTGGCATGGGTCATTATCGCCTGTTGAAATATCCATAGCCGCCTGTGATATGTGGAACGGCTTCTCCACCACCTGGGTGTACCGTTTGTTTGGTTCCATGATAAGACCTGTGAAAAACAGGTTTTTTTTATAAAAAATTGAGAATATTTATACAATTTGGTACAATAATATAGAAATTAGATTTCTTACACCGTTTAAAATACAGTAAAATTAGTTTATAAACACTTTTAAGTTTAGTATGTATAATTTTCAAATGGCAAATAAAACCTGTGTATTAATATAATGGCTGATGACCTTGGATCTAAGCCACAGTTTGGGGGTTTGATTGACGTCTAATCAGGACAAATAATTTGTACAAGCATGTTCTTATAGGTATGTTCATCAGCACTCTGGTTACTAGCTCTGGCTACTAGCTCTGGCTACTTTGAGGTCGGATGACTGTACACCTCCAGTTATTATTAACTGCAGCTTCAGTAGCTCATCAGATATTAAAAATTTTGAGCAGCTCCCCCACAGTTTCAACAATATTTACTTCTATGATAACAAAACCACATGTGCTAGGCAATTTACTACCAAGTTGGGCTAGATGGTGCAATATTATTTATAGCATAATATGAATAATCGTGCATATAGAGGCAGTATTTAGTATCTGTAGTAGATTATTATACAGAATATTCCGAATTCAATCTTCAACGACTTCAACCACGAGACAACACGGAAATGAAAAGACCGGCTTCAGCATGGTGGCGCAGAAAAAAATATTAAAATACAAAACGGCGGATGTCAAATAAAAGAAATGTAGATATAAACAAAAAACATATAATTGGCTGCACATAATTAATTTCTTCAAATTAATACGATAGTCTCAACACGTGGTGGTGACTGAGACCGGCTTAATAATTACTTACCCCAAAACATCTTGATGTATATTGGGAGTACTATTTCACAAAAATACGACTGAAGCTACCAGTCTAATATAAGATAGCTATATGTTGAGTACAGCGTTGGACCTGTTGGTTGTGATAGAAATTATCTATATCTATTGAACATGTGGATACCAACGAACGCGGCAAAATTAGCAACTGAAGAATGTAATGGAGTAAGTCATAGACAACTAGCAAATTTTTATATGACACTTTTTGAGAGTTGCAAGGTTTAAAAATATTTACCTCTATTGTATTAATAATTATCAAAAAAAAATAAGACAGTACTAAGAAAATATTAATAGTAACTACCATCTGTACTATTGTACACTTCCTTAAAGCAGCGTCCACACTATGCCGGAGTATGCCGGGCGAGGCCGGGCGGGCTGACCTGGGCGGCCTAAGCCGGGCGGGTTCGTTCGGGCCGGCACGACGTCCACACCGAAAACGAGGCCGCCCGGGTTATATCTACCTATTAGTTTCAATTCGACACCAAGACTGGACAACTAAAGCCGCCCGGTGCCGCTCGGCACGTCCCCACTACATATTTTCGTTCGGCTCGGGCCGGCATCCTTTGATCTGTACCTACTTTCTGCGGGTTGGGATCGGCTCGGCTCGGGCCGGCTTTTTAAGCCGCCCGGGGCGTCCACACCAACCCGGCTTAGGCCGCCCGGGTCAGCCCGCTCGGCCTCGCCCGGCATAGTGTGGACGCTGCTTAAGAGACATACCACATTTTAGCTATGATTTTAACCGTCGGATTTGTCGTTTTCTTGAGAAAGTAAATTACTTACCAACTTGAACTTGTAAAAAACTCCGGACAAGTGCGAGTCAGACTCGTCCACCGAGAATTCCGTACAAAGTTGTAGGTACACATTATAAATAGTTCAGAAATCGAGTCTCACAGTTTTTGCCTATAATTCCTTATATTATTGTGTTTTACGAGTGAAATTGTTCCTCGGTGTGACTATATCTTTTGTGGTTAATTACAAATTACAATATGTCGAAATGAGCGTTTTTTGCGACATAAACGGCGGTGTATTTTTTTTACGCTTTTTCACAGCTTCAAGGGTTTTAATTTCTCTCTTGACAGACAGAGAGACGAACATGTAGTGATTCTGTAAGGGTTCCGTTTTTTTTAAATTTTGTTTTTAAAACGTAGATAAAGACAAAATTCTAAAGCAAAACTTTCTAGCTTAGCGCAAAGACATTTTTTCGGGCTTTATAGTTACAGTATTTTTCAGAAACGAAAGGTATTTTTTTAAAATTCTTTTTATATATTGTCAAGAAACATCGCGCAAGTTCAATTAATGCATGTTTGCAAGGAACAATGAGATTTACAACACTAGACATAAGATCGAAAATAGATTGTACACACGATTATCCTGTTTACATTTGAAACGAATTAGATTTCTCAGAAGCGGACGGTTCTCGTAGGGATTTAAAATTGCTGGGATGTTCTTTTCCGAGTATTAAAATACGGACACGTCTCCGTTGAAGTCAGTTCAGTACGAGCTACAGTGAAATAAACATCGAGGAGATCAAAGCGAGTAAGTGCAACCTGACCTAGGCTATCATTCCGGACCATTCTCCAGTATTGTGTGAATGTCTTAAAGTGTAAATAAAGTCTCTTTAGTCGTCAGAAGGGCTTCTATTCCGAATCAACGAACCCAACACTTATCAATTTAAATTCAAAAAGGAAAATTGGCAAAAAATACCTCCTTTTTTTAGATATGGCGTTGCTAGCAGAAAAGATGCGTTGGTTATTTAGAAAGAGCACATCGAAATCTATAAAATACACATTTACAAAACTTACTTTAAAGGTAACCTCATTTTTTAGAACCGAATAACTTTATTACTAGTGAGGAAGAACTAGTGAAGATTAAATATCCCTCTTCCACATTCAGTATGCTGTTCTGCCTAGATCAAACAATTTAATGAAATAAAATTAATTAATTATGAAAAGACAATTCTGGTGAACTTGTTATGAACGGAAAACAATATCGGTTTGCTTGCGAATAGGAATTTATGTTTATTTATAGTAAAGGTGGGTCTGGATTAAACTATGAAAGTGGAAAGAGCTTATACAAAAGATGATAATTTGAAAATTTTGAACATTATCTAGACTACTGACAATGAAAGATAGACTTTTTTCGACTTTATTTTATTTAAAAACCTACTAACTTAATGATCTTAAAAACACAAAACTATGCACCATTAAAACCTAAACGAGCAAACCCGCGGGCGGATATCTAGTGGCAGCAATATTGTGCATTTTATACAATATTTTCAAAAAAATTAAAAGCAAATAATTTTATATTTGAAAAAGTATCAAGATTGCTTAGTTGGTAGTTAGCATTAATATTCAATTTTGTTTAATGCAATTTTGTGATTTACTCTTCAGTACACTTGAAAAGTAGTACCTAGACTATGACAACTAAAGTGAAAAGTAAAGATCTATAAGTGAAAGTAGCCCAAGTTCTTAGCTTTTAAAAAATGGTCGTTATCAAGTTTCTTATTTTATTATTTCGCTACTTTTATTTATGTTGATTTTTTCTACGTATTAGTAAAAATCATCTTAAGCTGTTTTCGATTATTCTTATTATTATCTCTTATTCTATTTTATATAAGTCTATGATTTGAACTCATTTTCTCATAGAGATTTAAGCATAGGGTAAACACGGGGTACAGCGGCCTGTGAGTGGAAGTGATAAAGGCAATGAGAGATAATAGATGGATGCCACATAGTTCCCTCTGTCTCTATTTAGCTAAGCTGCGATTGTTTATCGTGAAGTAATCATGGTGCATAAATGCAGTGTGGTCCAACCAAAGAAAGAAATGAGACACAGTGTATAAAAAAATTAAATTATAAGTCTGACAAACTTCTTTTAGAATTAAAGTAATGTAAATGCTTCATTATTCGTTTTGAATTTACAGTTTTTCATTAAAAAGAGTTACAGTTTGGCAAAATAAAAAAAAACAACTCAGTAATTCTTTTTGACCCCAATTATTCCCCAGCCAACCACAGAACTCGACTTGAAAGAGTTACAGGGAACTACCTAGAATCCATCTCTCTCGTTGCTTTTATTGCAAGACTTTTCATTTTGTCGTTTCATTCATTCTTCATTTCATCTTGTTCTCTCCATTTATTTCCGTTCGTGTATGTGATAGTCTGTGTAGCGAGAATATCAGTATACCATAGAGTAGAAAGAGGTTAAGCGAAGGGTACAAAAAAATAAATTATATTTCTTCTGCCTTTCGTATCTGTCAGTGAAAGATAACTGAAGTGTTTCAGCCATGGTAAATAATATATTTAATGTGAAATCAAGTAAAATCTCCGTAATCATGTGAAATTGATAACCAAGTGCTATACAGTGCCACTTCTGGGATATTTACTATTACTGGCGATGCATATTTATGTGTTAACCTCTTTCCTTGCAGGGTCGTGTAAGAACTAAAACCGTCAAGAAAGCGGCTAAGATTATCATTGAAAAGTACTACACAAGGTTGACCCTTGATTTTGACACTAACAAGAGAATATGTGAGGAAATCGCAATCATTCCCACCAAACCCCTTCGCAATAAAATTGCTGGGTAAGTCTAGTTCTATCCTAGTTTTTCTGCATGTTCTAAATCCATTCATAACATTGTGCACAATATAATTATAGCGTCTTCTTACGACGAGTAATTCTATTGTAACAATTCTGGTAGCTATGTTGACCATGTTTTCTTTAATAATTGTATAAAATTCTTTATATGTAAACAGAAAAATTTACTATCGAGTATTTCAATACTAATATAACTTACTGCAACTGGGTTAATGGGTTCCATCCCTAATCATGTATTAATTTAAGTAAGCTGTTGATGCAAACACGTTTTAACAATTAGTTGTTTTATAAAGGCACTAACATGGACTATTTTATTGAATGCCATTTTAAATTCAAAATATGTTGAAAAGTATTCTCTTTGTCAAAATATAGTCCTTGTATCTGATTTAGTTAAATAAAATTCCTTTCTGTGCTAGGTTTGCTACCCACTTGATGAGGCGTCTCAGGCACTCTCAGGTCAGAGGAATCTCTATCAAGTTACAAGAAGAGGAGCGTGAGAGACGTGACAACTATGTGCCAGAGGTATCTGCCTTGGAGCATGACATCATTGAGGTAGACCCTGACACTAAGGACATGTTGAAGATGTTAGACTTCAACAACATCAATGGCCTGCAACTCACACAGCCTACCACATCAGGTGGCTATGGTGGCAGACGTAATTAAGGTTAATAAAAATATTCCCTAAATATATGTTTTTTTTTTTTATCAATAGACAACCTGTTCCACTATGTTAGTGATTGTTTAGAACAAGCAATGATGTGTTCAGTCCAAGAAAATGGCTATTTTTGTTTCATTTTGTAATTAATCAATGACCCATTTTTGAGTAATATATTTATATCCATATGGGTTGAGGAGACACTTCAGATATTTTAAATGGAAACTCACCCCTTATTTAGTAGGTGAGCAAATAACTTTGTAGGACAAATCCTGAAATTTGTAGTAAGACAGCCAAAGTTATATCAATGTAAAAGTGGCTCCTCCATCTAAACATCTGAATTGAGGAGCCACCTGAAATATGGAAAGTACTTGTATCTTTAGTAGTAAATGTATATAGTGCCTACTAAAAATTTGAATTCAATACTATTGATATTCAAGAATATACAATACTTTAAATGTGGCTCCTCAATCTATAGGTATTTAAGTGTGAATTACCATGAATGTAATAGGTCAAAATATATATTCTATTACAAAAACATTTAGTAGCAAGTGTGTTTGAATTTGTAGCATCAGGAGAAAGTAGTAAAACCAAGTGGATTCAGTAAATAAACACATTTTATTTGGCTCCTCACATTCTGCATAACAAATAGGTAAGTAATGGACTGTATCTGACCTGAGATCACAACAACCAAAAACCAGAGCCACTAACATTTAGTACGTCTACTAAATAAATATGTAATCAATGTTGTATATATTCGGTATCTCAAAAGTAAATTACTTTTTTATTTTCCTTATGAATTCGCTATTTAGGGTGACCACGTCATAAAACAACACGGTAGTGAGTGCCAAATTTTAAGTCCATACGGTCATATGCGTGCAATAAAACTAGTTGCGGCCGGACCGCTCACTAGGCTTAATCTAGTTGCGGTGCTGAGTAGACGACAGTAGCCGTCCTCCAAAAATGCCGAGTTGTTCAGATTTTTGCTTCAAAAAGAGATCTGCCTAGTCAAGTTTCCAAAAAGATGGCGTTACCTTTCATATGTAAGTAACTTTTAATTTATACCATTGAGTAAATAGTAATAATTTGATTTTCAAACTTGATAACAGCCTTAACCAATCCACTGCTGTACGTAAGCCTCTCCTTAAAAAGGAGGTTTTGGCCTATTATACCACCTTGGCCAGACGGGTTGATATAGGGTTTGTGTCAAGTTTTCCTTCTTTCTGCAGTGCTGTTGTTTGCGTAGTTTTCTCCCTTAGTCGGCTCTTACGACACCCACGGGATGAATTGGGGTGGTGACACTCTGTATTCTTAATCCGTCACCACACGGACCATTTTCAAACTTACGAAATAATATTTGTATTGTTTTGGATTTGTTTACCAAAACGCCGCTCGCTTTCATACAATATTCAGTTCGAACGAGCAAACCGATCCGAGTGTCGTATTGCTAATCGCTATCACCGAGCGACAGTGTTGTTACCGGTTTGTAAATCGTTAGAGATCGATAAAACAAATACATCCATGTCTCTCATGTATATTATCATTTTTGAGATTATGTTTTCTGATATAATTAATATAATTATATATAGTAGATTGTGAGCTTTATTTTAATATTAAAACTGCGTCTAATCAAATATAATACAATACTTACGAGTATCAACACATTATATTAAATTACTAAGTGTGAACTACGACTACATTGTTTTTATTTATTTATTGCAGGTTTCTTAGAGATCCGAGTTTATGGGCTATATCGAATAACTTTTATGAAAACTTATACCTTACCTGGATACCTACAAGAAACATTGTCATTTGCTCAGATCATTTCAAGACCTCTGACTTTTAACAATAGAAGGGTGGAACATTCTTAATGAAAAATCCTAACTCACAGAAATGTATTCGACATATTTATACAAAATTAGTCCAGTTTAAAAAACAGTATTAGATTAAACTTGGTAATATCAATGATGATTGTTGTAGTAATAAAAAAAGTCCTATCCATATTAATATCTACCCTTGTATCACTTCTTAAACGTGACTTCCCTAAGCGTCTTCTCGAAATTATCGGAATTGCGTATCAATAGTGGTTACAGCCACGGTTGTTTAGTTTAGCAACATGTCAATGTAGTGAGTACACTGAATGTGTATATGTGTGTGTAAAATTGTTAATGTGTTGTTTTAATTGTTGTGTGAGTTCCGTAGTGACAGCCAATTGTTTTTGTATGGGAGTCTGAGAAAGTGTGTGTTGAAGATTCCCCCTCCCCCCCCCCCCCCACACAAAAAATGACAGACTGTTTAGTATTCGAAAAAGACAGCGTCTTTTCCGAATACTAAACAGTCTGTCATTTTTTGTGTACTACTCCCCTCCGGTCCGCCGGATATTCTTCAGTTTGTTCAATTTGGACATTAGGTTTAAAGTGCTTTGACGAATTTTACATGAGAATGATAGTCGTCGTAATAAACCATCTCGTCCTTTGTTGGGTAGTCACATGTCTCAATGTCCCATGCCAGCGTCGCTAATTGCAAGGATAAATTCTATAACACTTATTATTATACTACCTACTACCTATTTTAGTTTTGTATCGATAAGAATAATTAAATATAAAAGTAATAATTCACTACGTCTGCGGTAACCATTTATCAGTGTTGAGACACTGATTTGTGACGTGGTGTATAAATAAATAATATTGATGATAGGAAGGTAACAAGATTAATTTACAGTTACCTCCAAATAATTAGATAAATAATAATATGAATAAAATAGATTTGTGTACGAAACGGAACGAAAAAATACCGTGCCAAAAAACCAGTTTAAAATTGGGTTGTCTATCCGTTCGTGCCGGGTCATCTTCTAAACAGCTGGACCGATTTTGATAATATTTTACTACCAGGTATTTGTCTATATAAGGAGTAACTTAGGCTATTTTTTTCTTTGCCCGGTTCGGGAATCGAACCCACTAAGGCAGCGCTTTTCAAATTCCACGCGAATGAAATCGCGGGTACCAGCTAGTTGTAGTTGTTGCGGGTAGCTAGATGTTTTATGTTTCAAATTTCGTTACAAGTAAAAGTATTTCAGCTTCAAATCTATTTACCGAAGCATCTTAACTGAGGCGCCTGTTAAAATGTGTAATATCTCCCAATTGACTCTTTATACTACAAATTTAATATACTTACTACCATTGATCTATTGAAAGACTGTTTTTTTGAAAACTGATAGTCGTGTATGGTCTGAGGAGCCACATTTATAATGTATGGTATTTTTTTTTAATTTTAACATTACTGAGCTCAGATTTTGTTCATTAACTACTCTCAAATACAAGAAAATCATACTAAATTATGATAAATATACATCCATTATGTTCCTGGTTCTGACGTGGCTCCTCAATTTAAACATTTAGATTGAGGAGCCACCTTTATGTTCATATAACTTTAAAAGTATTATACTACGAAATCGAGGATCGAGGCTACAATTTTTTTTTATTGACTACTTAATAATAAAATTAATTTCATTAAGATATGAAAAGTGGCTCCTCAATCTACGCACTATGTCTACCATACCATACCATATAATAAACAGAAACAACGGCGACGCATTTCTGACTGCTGAGTTACAGGCGTTCACGGGCGGCGGTAGTCACTTTTCATTGGGTGACCCGTTGCTCGTTTGCCCCCTATCATAAAAAAACTATAATGTTTTAATTTCTTTATTAGATCCATGGCCAGAAGTCGACAAAGAAAAGACGAAGTAATTTGACAAGTTTGTGATCTGAGGTCCACGAGTCAAACCCGGGTGTCCTGCTCCTCGTGTACCACGTATGGTACATCGGACTGTTAACATGTTAAAGAAAAGTCTTATATTATTTTTTGCAAGCAATCTCTTCACAAAGTTTGTAAACAAATAACACAGAAGTATAAAAAAGTCGGACGAAACACCCGCTTAATCAAAACTGAGGCACCGGAATGTGCGATGTGAATGAATTTGGGGCTGCCAAGTTACCCAAATTTATACCCTAAAAACATAGTCAATAAACAAAAATATTTTAAGTGTTCGAAATTTTACTGTTTCCACTGTGTAATAAATATCCCAAGCTTGAGTAATTTATTTTAAAATAATCCTTTACTTTGAGAGGTTCTCAAAATTTCCTTTAATTTTTAGATGTGTTGAAACCGAATCGTTAAATATTTTTCCGCAATTTATTTAAAAATAGATATTTTGTGTTCTATCTTTCATTTTCACCATTACAATTTATAATTATTAAATACTCAATTTTCCTTAGAAAATCTAGACAAAGAATATGAAATAATAAAAAACAGCGTGAGGGGTCTATGGACCCCCGGTTGGAACCCTGTCGAAGTTCCTTTTGGTTTTTATTAGACGTTTGCTATAGCGTCTAAAAAAGTCTTGTTACATATTTTTCGGTTTAGCCCCCATCCGCACAGAGCGTGTAACATGCGATTAAAAATTTCCTGTGTGTGAAAAATGGCAACATTATGATGAATTCCTTTGTACTAAAGTATTAAACATCCAACGTTAACTGTAATGTGATTATATCGTATTGCAACCGAACATTGAATCGGTAATATTTTACTATGAAAATACCTTTTATGACAGTTGTGAGATCGAAAGTTGATCCGAACTGAATTTTGACCAAACTTTTATTACGAGAATCAGCCTTCTAGTGACCCATCAGCTTGTATGCCCCTCTTTTATAAAAGAAAAGTCTGTTTTTATTCATAAGCCGAATTTCAGTTATATCTATTCGGTTGTTGAAAGTGGGTTAAGTCTCCTCTAAGGTCCGTGCTCCGATAAGTCATCGGATAAGTTTTTAAATAAAATCGAAAGAAGAAGGAAACGGGAGTAACTACAGAAAAACTTAACGAGACCTATTATATTTCAACTGTGATTTTTCCATAAAAAGGTTGTCTTTAAGTTTCTTATTCTGAGAAAATATAAAACTTTAACAACTGTAATATTTTGAAAAATGTAAATTAGTTATTGGTTTGAATC